ATTTCCAAAAAAAGTTGTTGTGTTGAGATTCTAGGTTTTTAACACATTTCAAACTGTAATTTTGTGGGAGAGGGGAAATAAGTACTTTGAAGTGGTTCCAAAACAGATCATTGAAGAACTACCACAAATAGTAAGCAGGGTATTTCTGATAAAACAAAGAGCAAACTTTTCAAATAAAAGCAGAATTTTTTCATCAATCCTGCCATTTTACTAAAGTGTTGCTTTTCTACAAAGATAAAATGAAACCCAATTGAAGTTATAAACACTGTGATTCGTTATCTTATTCACTCATACTGCCCAGGAAAACCAAATGCAAATAACTGCCCAGGAAAACCAAATGCAAATAACTGCCCAGGAAAACCAAATGCAAATATTGCTTGTGTATCAGAAAAGGACAACGTTACTTACGTAGATAGAAACATAGGTTTAGTACAATGAAACCATTTACACGTCTTCCGTACGTAACGACTATGTTTGTCCTTCACAGGGGAGACACCAGTACGTGGGTCTCTGACGCTTTTACTCACAAAAGCGGATGCATCAGCATTGCCAAGCAGTATAGGACTCATCAGAGAAAGGCTGGGCATGACATGTTCCATAAGCATCCTGAAGGAACAATCACAGGAGGTTGCAAATGGGACATGTCTAGCCTGCACCCATCAGAAAGGATGCATGTGATGTGCTGCATGAGGTAACGCATGCAATAATGCATCACATGCGTCCTTTCTGGACACAGGCTCAAAGCATCAAATTTTTGATCTCCTAGAATGTTGCATCAAATCCATGTCTGAAAGGAGCATGTGTGTATGTATGGATGCTGTTTTGCACATGCAGTAAATGTATGTGTATACTGTATATTGTACATTACTGTAGTTGAATTTAGATGTTCCACAACTTCACTATGGAAGCACTATCTGATGTAGGATGCAAGCTAGGTGGCATGAGCTGAGGTATGCTAGTTCTAGATACATTATTCATGATGGAATCATGTAGATATACAGTATAAGAAAAATCAGAAGAGTTGGGACATAGTTTTACATCCCACCTTTTCTTGTATGTAAGAAAAGTTGGGACATGGAAGTGAAAGAAAAGACACAAAAGAATGTCCTGACTTTCTCGATCTGTGTAGCACTTGAAGTCTTCTTTCAGGGATTTTTTTTCAAAATGAATTTAACTTCATTTTTTAATTGTTGGCATCATTTAAACTAAACATAACTTTTGTACCTTTCATGATTTGCCAAGGTACAAAAGTTGCATTTACTTTAAATTGTGCCAAAAATTCAAAAATGAAGTTGAATTCATTTTGAAAAAAGTACCTATAAGAAGTCTTCAAGGGGTAAAAAAAAGCAGTAATTTTAGGATGTTCTTTTACATCCTGTCTCTTGTTCTATGTAAGGAAATTCAGGACCTAGAAGTACATCTGAATCAGAAAAAGGAAAGTTTGGATGTACAGTACTTCTATATACAGTACATCCTGACTTTCCTTGCAAACAAGAAAATATCTAAAAGAATGTCCCAAACTTCCTGATTTTTGTGGCCCTTGAAGTTGAAATGCATGGTTTTGAAATGAAGTTGATAGATAACAAGAACAAAATATATGTACATTAAAATTCCTTGTGCAACAAACTTCCAGGGCTTGAGAATAATCAGCAGTTCGAAGGAAAAATTTGCTTTATTGAGACTTGCGGTCTTAAATATATGCAGCTAGATTGAAAATGTGTGGATAACTTCCAGTTATTAGAGATGTTTCTAATGCATAATTTTTTCAGGGAATGCAGACAGAGAGTTGAAAAAGAAATTGACTTATTGGGGATGAGGTTCGAGTTATTATATTGAGGTTCAACTGTAATATATGCTCTCATATCCGTTATTCACCTTTGACATAAATCAGATTTCGAAAAGCAAACGTGGGGAAGTGAGCTGTGGAATTCGGAAAAACTTTGGGGGCGCCCCTCGAAAATGCCACAGCTGGTGTTGGCGCCGTTGCTGCTGCTAGCCAACAGTAAACGGCACGACCTTCTCGCCGCCAAAACGCCGCCACGGGTTCAGTTCGGACTCGCAGTCCGTCGGCTGCGGACGCCCTTTTTTCTAAAGACGCCTTCTTGTTCTTCATTCCATCACTTGTTTGCTTATTCTTTCGAAATCCTCTCTTCTTTTTTTTTTTGTGTTAAGGAGGGGAACATTTTGCTGCTGTTCGTGAAATGAGGCTGTTTCAGCTTTTTTTAGAATTGATATTCATTCATTCTTTGCTGGCTCATTCTTTCCTGCTGTCGGACAAATGAAAGCTGTGAATTTAACAAGTTCAAGTTATTCGCGCGTTGTTGGAATTTTGGCACGAGTGAGTTGTTGATTAACAACGTGACCGAGTTCTTTTTACAGACGCTTAATAATATTGTCAGCATTTTTGATGGCAAACTATTTTCGTCTTTGCTAAGCACTTAAAAATAAAAGCCTTTGGCCCGAACATGTTACTAAGAAATCCGATAAATTTTCTTTTATTATAGTACATTACAAGAAGAAAATTAATATTTTGAATTATAAATGAATTTATAGCTCTTAGATTCGTTCTGTTCAAGGCGTTCAAAAATTGTTTATCCGATATCCGGAGAGATCTTTTATTTTCTGGGGCCTAAATACTTTATACTCATGCCTGAATTATTAATTGTGTTAAAAAATATTTTCACCTGGGAAAATTGGAAAAAGGCATGTTTTCAGAGTTTAAAAACAAATTTTTTAGTAAGATGGAATTCGAAAAAGTGATTTTTTGACGATTGAACGTTTCCTTTCGAGACAAGAATTGGATAATACGCCTTTTTTACAGCAACAAAACGCTAAAAAATAATTCATCCGAATGATTTGGGCAGCATAATCTTTGGTATCTTGAGAAAAAATAAATGCCCACAAAAATGCGGTGCCCGAAATAAGTCCATTCGAATTTTTATTGCATCTAAAATCGCGGTCATTTTCGCAATCCATAGATTCAAGATACAGACGGAAATTATTGAAAATTCGCATTTATTTATTTTTCTCTTCCAAACTCTACTCGATATTTTTTTCCTATGGTGTTTTGAATCGCGTGAATGATCGCAGTGAACCTGTTTGTATAGAGAATCGACACGGACAAGAATAAAACGCAAGAACTGGTATATTTAGTGTGGACAAGTGTTGCAAAAGTGAGTGGGAAGGTCCTTTTTTTTCTTTTTCTTTTTCCCCCACACCTTCTTTTTGGATATCGCTTATTCTCTTCTCCGGAATTGAGAAATAAAACCCTCATCATCAACCACGCCTGGGGTTGGTGACGAGAGACCGTCGACAAGAAACCTCGACATCGACATCGACATCGACCAGGTGTTGCTTGACAGAGTGCTCAAAGGTTAGTGCCATTCACTCAAGTCATTTTTTGTGTTCGTATGTTTTCATTTTCTAATTTCTCGTTGTTTTGCATTTTTCAGCTTATCTTTATGCCCATTTTTTTCATTTTTTATGCAGTGAATTCGCATTACAACAACCTGGCAGGAGCCAGAGAACATTTTGTTCACTATAAGACATTTTTTCCAATGACATTTTTGGAGGGCTGAAATTTTATGGGGAAACTGATAGTAGCAAATCTTGTCAAGTACTGTACTTTTGCAAGAAATTTGTGAAGAATATTCTGCATTTCATACTTATTTTGATACTGTAATACCAAGAAAATTCAAAATGTCAAGTGCAAACCTCTTATTTCAGACCCTTACACATTTTTTTAATATACAGTACTGATCTTACTAAAATATAAGTTGAAACAGAATGAAAATACAAGTGGTACACTGCAAGTTGACCCTAATCCATTGCCAGGTAAGGGTAAAATTGCAAGACAATGTCAAATTTAATGTCTTTTAACATTGAATTTGACATTTTGAACCTCATTGTAAGTTGAATTGTGGGGCAAGAGGTCAAATTTCAAGTCAATGTCCCAGCAAATTTGACCATTGAAATGCAGGATAGTGGAATTGTGGGGTATCATATTTTGAGGTATCACGTGTACAGCATATGCAAAACAGCATTTATTCATTAAGAATGGTATGTTTCCTGATATAATTAAGCAGCAGAATCCATCTAGGCATAATTATCTCACAATGGAAATTCATGTAGCTATCTTTTTAGAATTTAGATGATGCTTATATCTTGTATCTTCATAATTCCTTTAATATTTTTGAATGTTTAAAATTATATGCACACGTTGGATTTTTACATAGTGAGCCAAATGATGAAAATTGGTATGGATTTTGTACATATTACCCTGGCAAACATTAGCTATGTACTGTACTGCATTAATAGAGGGACATCATTTTGGTACACTAAAATCGCATTACAAAAAGCTGTTTGGACTGGAGGAAAAGCTTCAATATAATAATAAATTCACTATACAGTGATCTGAATAACATTATTGTTTTTGAGCAGTGACCTAAAAATGACTTCTTTGTTACCAGTGTTTCATTTTAACAGGATTCTAGCGCATAATGAAATTTTTATTACATTGTCTCTATAAAGGAAATGTCAGGACAAGGATCTAAAATTCAGGTACAATTACACAAGGTTTTTTGCAATGGAATTTCGCAGCGTACATACGGATACGGATATATACGCGTATATACGGATATTGGAGAATAGAATTTAAAATTGGCGCTTTCCGCAATTTAACCTTTCATTATTCAGACGCGCAGCAGTGCAAGAATGAACCCTGGCCAATTATCTTTTCTTTTGTTCTTCAATGTCTGTATTTTTTTTTTTTTTTTTTTGCCACTCCCCGAAGTGCTGCTGCGAGAAAGTGACGCGATCTGAAAGTCAAGTGCTTTGCAGCCCCAAGGTCGATTGTGTGGAAAGTGACTTGGGCTGGGAGGTGGAGGGAATATGCAATTTGGAATGAGGTTTTTCCCATTGGCCATTACAGTCAATCAAGCCAGGATTTTGCTGTGCAGTCCAAGTAAATATACTAGTATATAACCTAGATGTATCCCCCTTTTTTTATATTTTCCCACAGGTCCTGGCAAAAAAAAAATATTCATGGTAGATTTCAGGTGCTTACACAGATGAATAAGTTTATTCTTCCCTTCTGTAGCCATAAATGGACAGTTGAACCTTTTCAAAGTCAGGATAACCCATAAGCAACACCAAAAGAATGCACTAAGGGAGTTTTTGAGTGGGGGAAATGAGTTACAGCAGTGGACACTTGGTTAACAAACTGAATTGGTTCCAGGCAAAATAGTTTGTTAAATCAATTTTATTTTCCCATGAACTTCAATGGGGAAGAATTTAATATCTTCCGTGAACCCATTAGACAATTGAACATTGAATATAAAAAATGCAAGACCATCAGCCTTAATCAGAATACAGGTGGACATCCCACAATTTGTTCATCCAGAAATTCAATGGTCAAATGTTCTGGGATGTCAATTTGCAATTTGATCTCTTGCCCCTCAATTTGACCTGCAAAGAGACTCAAAATCTGAAATTCAATGTAGAAAACATTGATTTGACATTGTCTTGCAATTCAAACACTTTGCAATTTGACCCTTACCCTAGCTGCAATGGATTAAGGTCAAATTGCGGGACACCACCTTTAATTCGTTTCTGCATCTTGTATGTAACCAGAATGTTTTTACAGTGTTATATGGAAGTAGCACTGATGAAAACAAAGATAAAAATGCTTCACATTTTGAGAAACACACACAGAAAGATGCATGTCAGAATAAAATTAAATTTATTTTTTATGCAGCAACTCTGCAAGTGAAGATCACATTGACCTTCCTAACAATTGAAAAACTAGAAGAATCAAGCACAGAAAAGCAAATAATGCCATCAGAGAAAAGGTATCAAGAATGCAGCTGAAACAAATTTTAAAACACAAGATTACACATGCTGCTGTACAGTTAAATTTCCAGAAGGAAGGAATTTTCATCTCTGTACATGAGAATTTTTTGTGCTTAGGTTTTACTGTACCATGAATTGCATCCTCAAAATTGAATTTTAAATTCTCAAATTTGGGATTTTCCTCCCAGAAAAAAGGTTTGTTAACCAAGGGATTTTTCATGGGAACCAAAAGTTTGTTCATTAAAAATGTTCATTAACCAAGGGTCCGCTTTGATAGCATGCTCAAGTTGGAGGCAAGGGCACATAATCCCAATCATTCCCTCATCACTTGTTTCAAAAAATATCAAGTTAAATTTTTATTGCTGTTCCTGGGTCCAAGAATTTTGCTGGAGGCCCAAAAAGGCCTTCCCAAAATAGGAGTTTAAAGCTTTTCTGATTGGGGAATAGGTTGATTTATGGAGGTCTATATTGCTCCGTTTTCAAGAGGATTTTACCAAACCAAAAGCTCAACAAAGGAAGATTTTTCACTTGCTAGTAAAGCTTGATATACATCAAGGTCCTAATGTAATTGCATAACTTGCAATTACAGGAAGTTTGAAATAAAAATATGGAATGTTGAATACAGTATAACCAAAATCTGGAAATATTGAGTTGCAGTATTTTTTTCTGCACAGAAGAATTCTGTGGAAGAGAAAAAATAAGCTCTCATATAGCTGCATATTTTTTCAACCTTGAGCCATCATATTAACTTGGGGTTAAAACTGGATATTGCAAATTTATCTGACATGATAGCTTATCTAAATATTTTGAGACTCTGGCCACAGAGAACAGTTGCAGTTTTATGGAAAAAGAATAGTGTTGGAGTGCAAAAAGATCCTCAAAACATTTTAAATTGCCATGCAGAGGGAATATCTGAAAAGAAAGCATTTTTTTCCAATGTGTTAAAAAGCTTCACTTTCTTGCGGATTTTTTTTCTTGGTTTGTGTTACGTTTTCTATGCAATATAAATTGATTCAATAGGTTTTGCATCATGGATAACGTATATTTCTGGAATGGATTGATTAATTAATCTTTTTAAAGGGTAAAAGTATAATTGGTACGAGTTTTAGAACCGATCAGAAATTCATATGGCATCTTTTCCTTTCTTCCTCAATTAAATTTTCGGATAATGACCTTCACCAGGAAACAATTTGATGGATTGATATGCCTTATATGTTGATATTAATCAAATTATGCTGTATTCTCGCATTATACCTCAACGATTGTTTTTTTTCGTGATAGAATGAAAAAAAGCCTACAAAAACGAAAAAAAAAGTTTCAGGGTTTATTTTATGAATTTTCGTCGTTTCCGCCTTCATTCGTATCATAAGCAAGGTTTTTATATTATTCGCCAATTGGTTAGGAAAATGATTTCCCAGCAATTGGGAAGTTCAAAAACAAGTTTTCGAAATTTTACTGGTCCTGTATAATAATGGCACGAGGATGGATGACGTAATTTTCTAATCATTTCTAAGGCTCTAAAATCGTCAAGCCTTGGCGAGTACTTTATTGCCCATAACAATGCCAAGATAAATTCACTGATAGTCTGGACTGTGTTTCATATCCTTCATGAAGTCATAAACTAATAATTACCGGCGAGGGTATGTTTTAAATTCACTTAGTCGAAGGATTATTTCTGTCCACCGATACCCGGTTTATTGACTATTCAAATATTAAAATAATAATTTTCCAGCTTCTTATTGTACTTGGATTCAATTCCGAGTAGTCAAAGACCAAGTCAGCAGCAAACAAGAGTTTAACCGTTGAGTACCGTTAAGTAATTGAATTTGCTCTGTTCAAGGCCTTCATATAGTTTGAATGTTCTGAAAGTATCCATGCGGTATTGGACGTGTTTTATTTGTATAAATTAAGCATTACTCAGTATTTTTTGAAAATTTTGAGCGAGGCTAAGACATGTTTGCAAATTTTAATTACCCACATCAGAAAATCAGAAAGACACGGTTTTGATTTTTTTTAACAGTGTCCTCAATCAAACATGATTTAAACAGATATTCTGAAAAAGTGTGCCTTGATGTTGAATCTTTTTGTTCCATGAAATAACTTTTTAATTTTAGTTAATTTATGCCATCATCAGGTATTACTTTCAGAAATGAAAAATTGTAGAGCCTGTAATTACAGAACTAATGCAAGTGAATATCTGTAAGTATAACTCAAAAGGTATCCAAGAAAGGCGTAATTTGGACGGTTGATGGATTGAAATTTATTTTGGCCAAATTATTGCAAATACAGAGGTTCAAACTATACAGTATTTGAGTTGACTCAATTTTTCTTCGGATGAGCCAGCATATTTTTTTCTCTCAAACTTTTCATTACAGTGGCTTTAAAATTACTGAAAAGTAAACTGGTAAAAGATGCCCCAGTCAGAAAATATTCTGTCTCACAAAAAAAAAACGTTTTGGCTTGGCAACAACAAAAACAGCTTTTTCAAGGCTGCATTTTTTTTCTTTTTCAACTCAGCATGAAGTTGTTGGATATTGCCAATAACCGTTGCTTTGCTTGTCCAGCAATTTCTGCACTTGCGATAAAGAGCTCAGTTGTGACTTTGGTGAACTTTTGTCAAACAAAAATAAGTTAGCCTACAATGTAAAATCTAGGTACTGCCACACAGTGGAAAACAACCCTCTGTCCTACAAAGGCTGACCCCTCTGTGCCAAAGTCAGGATATGTTTGCTTTAAGTGCATTGATGTAGAAGAATTGAATTAAGAACCAAGGCCTAATTCATGAAAAAATGAAGTAGAGGATTTGTTCCTCTGTTGGCAAACATTTTTGGCTGCAAAAAAATATTCCTGGCTAAATGCCATTTTTCCTGCATTCCCAGCATAGGATTAGCAAATGGCAGATTTCTGAAAACAAAAGAACTTACCAGATTCTTTTCAATTGGGCTTTTTCAACCCATGTGCATTTTGGTGACCTTGCAGTCTTACTGAAATGGGCCTGGTGAAAAAAAAAAAAGCCAAACTTGTCTTGGGATGGAAAGGAGCCTGCTGATGCTATCCAAGGGTTAGGAGAATTCGACAATTAGAGATCAATGTAAGAGTTTTAGACTTACAGGGATTTTATTTGGAAATTATACAGGTAGACTCACTCTACAAAAATCTTGTCTACAATGACTTGATCTGCATAAAAATTTTGTTTTTGGTTCTTTCATCATTTTATATAGGCTGCGTTTTAGCTTCAAAAGGCAATTCTCTAAAAAAAACCCCTCCTTTTTGGTCCCTTGAATTTTGTTGTAGGCCCATTATCTGCTTCATGAAGCAGTCTTTCACTTTTTTTTTTGTAGACATAACTTTTCCCCCTGCATTGCATCATTTGGCAAAACAAGTGCAATTGTGGCAACAGAGGTCTCAGCTGGAAACCAGTTGGGTCACATTATATAAGTTACCCTGCTGCCTGGGTTCAATATGAAGAACAAATTTAATGAAGTATCAGCAGTTGCTCAATACAAAAACTGAGCTGTTTCCTGCTCACTGGTTTGGTTAGTTATTGGTTCTGAAACGTCGGGTGTGGGTCCGTTGCCCGGGCCAGAGGAAAATGCAAGAAACCAACGGCGCCTTTTATTATTATTTTTCCTACTGCTGCCTGGGCGGTGGCGGTGGGTCGACGATCCCTAGGCGCCCGTTGCTTTAATCACCGCCTCTGCTGTGTGTTGCCAAGCGCCGGACACGGACAGGGACAGGGACGCCGCATCGGGAATTGCCGCCACTGGCCCGCGGGCAGCAGCTGGCAATCAATGTCTTATTCTCTCTTCTTTTTTTTCAATTTTTTAAAACATGATATTGCTGGTTGGGAACTTGCTTTCCCATCATGCATTGGCTGGATCTTTGATGATTGCTACAATCTCCAGCAGGCAGAGATGCTGCACAGTATAAGAAAGTGTTTCTTATTATGTGGACAACATTTTATGAAACACTATACCTGCTGCAGTGAGTCCCAATTTAAAAAAAAAATAGCATACACAGTGGTACCTTGTACAGTGCAAACATTTGGCACTAAAAATGTACTGTAGGAAAAATAGTTATGGTGCAATTTTTCACTCTCTTACTGTAAATACATTTTTTAAAGTGCACCTTACTCTAAAAAAGTCTCTTCATAAAAACATGTTTGGTGTTATTTTCACCCTTCTACAATTCAAATTTGCATAAAAAATTAATTGGCTCTTCATATCAATGAGAAAATATGTTCTCTAAATGAGCAAGTATTTTCTGTATAACAAAGAAATTGTACAAAAAATGTAGTGTATGTTCAAACTGAAGATTACACAATTTCTCCATGTGGGAAAAAATGACACTCACACAATTGTTTCTCAAACCTCAGTATAACTTGAATTTTTCTTCAAGCTTTCCGGCTAAGATATTATTTTATTGATACAAGAAAGAGTAAGGTAAAACAAATGTACCTTATTGTGTTGTGAAAGGAATCAATGGACTAATTTGGTGGAATGAACCCATTGGTATCAAGTTCAGCACCCTGCTAACTCATTTAAGAAGATGTTTAAGGCTCAGAACAACACCATTTACAATGTCCTGCAATTTTTCTTTCTTTCCCACAACACAAATGCTTGTTTCCTTAACCCTTGGGCAGTGGCAGACCCTTTTCCATCAGGCAGCAGTGCTGGGATTTTTTTCACTTGTGCCTTTTGGTTAGACCAAAGGTAACCGAAATGCAAATTATTTGGCCAAGTATCCAAAGTTGGGAAAAATCTTGGAAAATGAAAGTCATTGTTCTGAAAATCGCTCAATGCTATTACTATGACAGTAATGCTGAAAAATGCCACCCAACAGAAACTTTTGTTTCTTTCTTGATGAAAATTTTTCTGCGAGAATGTTAAAAGTTTTGGATTTTCCCCATACAGTACTCTAATCATTCTAATTTTCTCATTTTTAAAATCCTTGTGGAACAGCATTTTACAGATAAATCCCAGGACTTCAGGCCAAGGGCTACCTAGAAACCTCCTCAACTCAAATTGTTCTGCCGGCCACTTTCAAGTTCCACTGTAGTACAGTATTGTACAGTATAATGAAGGATTCCAGTTTGGATGAGGAATGCAGTTCAGGAGTCATCAATCGATCACATGTCAAGTAGATGTCGCGTCCGCTTGTGAGCGCCGCTGAAATCCATTTTGCTGGTTGATATCCCTTTACAAGCCTTTAAGTGTGTCAAAATCACCGCACAAATACGATCAACAAGCAGAATGCGCAATTGCGAATGGTTTATTGGGAAGCATTTGAGCAAGAAAGGTGTTCCGTAAATCTCATAAGTTCCATGCGCGGGAGCAAACGAAGGCTGCTCATTCCGTGGTATAGATTTCACCATTTCGCGGCCGGGTGACGAAATACTGTAAGCGAACCTTGAGGCGAGAGAAGCGGGAGCTGCCAGTTTTTATTTTCTCTGCTTATCTTTCTCTTCTCAGCGGTGATGATGATGATGATCATGATGCTGATGAAGATGAAGGAGGAAAGACAAAGAAAGAAAAACGAGGAGATGATGATGATACCGCGTGTAAGAGATGTTCGTTGAACTCGGCAGGACATGATCCGAAACAAGCCACTTTTCCCTGGCGAATGAATCCGGCGGGGAAGGAAAAAGTAAAATGAAGACGGATCGCGTCTGGTCTCGTTTTGCTTTCCCTGCTGCTTGATGCTGTGATATTCTCTTGCATCTTTGTGTCGTCATTCAAACAAACGAAACGAAAATATGATCAAGAATAACCACTTCTTAACTCATACGTTAATAATTGAAATCGCACCGCTGATGATTGAAGTGTATTTCATTTTCTTGGCGAAAGAAGTGCCTCCAATTAATATAACGCGCAATGCGGTTTCATTTTCATGTGCATGCAGTACTGTAAATTTTTCGACACCATGCATATCCTGTATATAGCATCAGAGTTATTGCATCAACTCGCCCTCGGAGTGCGGAAAATGTGATCAATAGTGTTGAAAGAGTGAGTCAGAAGAGATTTAAAAGACTTCCAAGCAATGAAAATACTGTGCATTCTTAACCGCTGAAGCGCCACATACATGTATCCATTTGAAATTGGGGACTGTCAAATTGAAGAAAGGTAATTCCATTTTCATTCGAAGACTAAATTTATACACGGTGATGTTATAAAAGATGGTATGCTACAGGACCATCACCATTGCATACGAGAATAAGTGTCGCGAAAGAATGCTTTGCTAAATGGTTCTAATAGCTCGAAGCTGTTGAATTAATTTTGAGGTTACTGAGAAGCTGTCTTTTGTTAGAAAGAGGAGGCATCTGATGGATCTTTATTCCAGGTTATTGGTCCGCATTGTCTGTCTAACAATATTGGTCTACTTTCTCATACGCACACTGCATCATTCTGTATAATAACCGCTAAATGAGTTTCAAGTTCGTTCCGATGCTGTAAAGGTGCCATTCGCGGAGTAGAATGCACCTGATTTTCCGCATGCGCAATGCGAATCCAGATGTGTGTTGATTAACATTGCGCAGAAAAATCAGGTCGTGTATATTCTACCAGGTTTTTCTAATTTTGAGTTCGGCGCGAGATCCAAAAAGTGAATCCATGTACTAAGCTTTCGTTCTCACTTTTATTCATCTAAATTCGGCCGTGCATTTGATCAAGCAATCCAGACGGATTGCGGTTTACAGATGGCTTTGACGATGCTTCAGTCGGTGACATTCAGCCTGGCTGGGCATGTGACATATGGTACCTAATCTATAAACGGAGGATTCCTCATTATTCATCATCACGCAATGCCCGCACTCGGCGCATGCGTGATGCACAAATCGCAAATTTTGCGCATCTCCATATATATGTTTTGCAAGAGACCTTGTGTATATTTAATACCGAACGCCACATTTCAGTATCGTGATTGATTTTTCAGGATATTCGGCATTGATTCGTTGCGTTAATGACACTCCGGCCTTCGAGTTGGATTAATATACATGTTTCGACACATTCGCTCTTCGGCGGTCGGTCTTCTTCGATTCATCACAGGGACACAGTCCATCAATTTACATCTGTTCACCGACTGAATGTAAACCACGGTGACGGTAGGAATCCCCATCCAGTAAAAGGCGACGAAAATGATCTCGTAAGAACGGACTTGACGAAATGGAGTATCAGCTTTCATATCGTAGCTCAAATCGCGGATGAAAGCGGTTATGTTGCCGTGGAGACCGAAGAAAATAACTCGGGTGCCAGATGACAATATTTTCGCCCAGAAAATGAAAGAATATGACTATATCTGCCGTTTATTTATATATATATATATAATTTTTCAGCATGGCTTGCCTATTATAGAGAGTGAATGCACACAGGTGCTATGTGCGTGAGATACCCGCACGTGGCTGCGACCAGCAGAAGAGCTATAAAGTGTGTCATTAAAATCCAACGCGAAAAATCGTCGCTGCGTTTTTCTCGGCCATCATCAGCATTTCTCTCCTGCAAAGGAAAATTTCGATGGAATGATAAGGTAAAAAAAATTGAGTCGAGCAAACTTTGAGTTATAGGAAACAAGCATTTTTGGTTGAGAAGGAAGAAGAATTACAGGGAATTGCATGATTGTTGATATTGTGGGCGTCGAATTGCCTCTTTAGTAAATTGGCAGGATGTGGAATTTTGTGGAAAGTGTTCATCTGCCCAATTAGTCTTACACTTCCTTTTCAAGACGCATAAAGTCAGATTTGTATTGCTTTACTGTACTCTTTCCTGTATCAAAAGAATAATAAAAAAAGGCTTCGGAAAATTCGAGTTACGGTGGAAATCCTCTGATTTGTGGAGTTCCATGTATTGTTCCTCGAGGAATTCAGACCGGGACTCGAAAAAAATTTGACATAGGGAGGTATTTGTCTTCGGGAGGTTAGTTATCGTTGAGGTTCAATATTCCTATAAAAAAATGACAGGTTCTCATATACAGTACATGCAAACATTATGCAGAACGGTTTATTCGCGCACCGCGGGGAGTTCTATTCTGATGACTTGCGGAACAAAAATTTCATTTCTGCAGGCGAAGTATAATCAATTACAGTATTATGAACATTTCATTTTTATGATCGTGGTGCTGGCGATGACGAGGAAGATAATTGGAAGGAAACATGGCATTATTTTATTCATCACTGACTAAAAACAGAACGAAGAACGCTGATCATATGCGAACTTTTATTTATTGCCCTCACGGTGACGAAAATGAAGACGATGAAGCAATCTTCGAATCTATAGTTTCCTTCACTTGAATAACATAACAGTCTTTGCTACTCACAGTATCAGAAGCCGTGTTTTCCCTCAAGTAAGGAACAATTTCCGACACTCGCTCCAATATCGTGAATATCCGAACACCGTTTCGTAATCATTGCCATCCGAAGCACGATTGCGATTTGTTCCACAATTAACATTACGGACCGATTTTAATGTGAAGTAGATTTCTATCGTCATTTCACTTGCATTTGGAAGTTCGACCTTCGGACGGTATGTACAATTACTCCATAAGCTAAAAACTTTGCTGAAAGTACACTGTAATAAAAGTAAGTCATCGCGGTAAGGCATGTCGTTCCATCTCAAGGCAGAAAAACGCGGAACAAAATGATGAAACACTTATGTAGTCTAAAAACAATGAAGCAACTCTTTTACGGCTTCTTATATCTCCTGACCACCTTAGTTATTGCCCAGTATAATTGCCGGTATAAAAATTTAACACATTCTTTCCTGTCCGCTGGAACGATAGTCCGTTACAAACTAAGTGCATGTATGTAGTCTCAGGCAGTGTTACGCAAATAATCTGGTTATTGAGCTTTTGCGGCTGACTCTATAACCTGAATTCCATTCGCTTGCTTTTTTCCTTCCTTAGTATTTATTAACGTGATGTTTTGACCCAAATAACGAATCTTCAGCACAAGAATAATGTCATGAAGCTTGAGTCTAAAGTCAGCATTGCGTGAATTACCGGATCGCATGATACGAAATGAGAATGAAAAATGCTTACCAGTGAAAATTATTGGTCTCTGTTGCTTCGCGTATGCTGAATTCTCTTGGAAAGTCGACGAATAATAAACGTTCTGTATGCACAAATCACATCGTCAAGAGCGGATATTCATCATCCGCCTATATTGTACACGACACGCCGATTTCATCCAAGGAATAAATAATGAAACTTTCCGAAGAACCACGACATTGAATTCGACGAACGGACACTTTCTCCTCTGTTCCATACGTTCATGAGAATTCCGAGGAAATATGAGAATAAGGCAGGAACGAACGATTCGAAGGTGACGGTCTCATTTTCCCTGATGGGAAAGTCGGAGTGTTTTGGGGCGCATTCGATGTACAGTACGATGAACAGATGCCGCCGTCATGCATCATATGGTTTGACTCTGAACCGTGGTTAAATACTGCACTATATTTACTCCGTATACAGGAGCATTCTTGTGTTCTTTGACTTATTTTTTCCTTGATTGCAAAAATAGATTATGCATGTGAGTTGAACCCGAATCTAACCAAACCTCGCATTTCATTCGCCGTCATTATAGGGCTTGATGATACTCGATGAATACAAATAATCTGAAATTGAATCTCGCGCGTGATGGTGATGATAAATCTGGAAACGGTGCGCTTGTATAGTTCATGAACTCATTTTCACTCGCGATTTTCTGTAGGTTAATCTTTTTCACTTTATTGCCCATGTGTGTGTGTGTGTGTGTGTGTGTCTCACTTCAGTCGTGGGCTTCATCACGTTTTCGCGTGAGCATTCTATATTGCCCCGAAATGAGCCCGCGAATCTTAATTTCGTCTGCGCTAATTCGCGTGTTCTTCGACTGAGCATGAGGGTCATATTCCGAGCTTGCCGACACCTGCATGGCTGTGATGATTTAGAATTACTTTCTGGGCCGAGCAAAGGCTTGAACAATGCGAGAAGCCGCGTCAAGGCGAAGAAGCCCGTGACCTGATTTTTTCCTTTCCGCCCCGGGGCGAGGGCATGAGTCTCGTACCTGCATATGAATACGAGAAGGAGGAGGAAGCATTTTTCAATGCGGGTGAGAGGACATTATTATAAATAACACAGAAACGGTGCATTATTTTTCTGCTTAATTACCGTGTATACCGAAGGAATTGTGAGTCCGTTTCTTATTCTCATATGGCGCCGTTGTTGAATGACTTTCTGCTGTGGATATTCCCTCGTCTCAAAATAATTCGCATGTTTCTTTATTTTGAGTAGTAGAAATAATTTGACAGCATAAATTTCATAAATTTCTTGACATAAATTATTACTAGGCTGTACCAGGAATCGGGGTTTCGGTAATCTATAGTTTCATTGCGTTAGTAGTTTTATTACTACTCTTCTTCGGTTTGCAAACTTCTTTAAAGAAGTCTTTTGCTAAATTTATATGAGCATATCATAAGTTAAGAAACCTTTTATACTAAGCCTAAGAACACGCAATACTTTACATCACTCCTATTTTCAAACAGAAATTGAGCGAAATCGAGTTTGTGGATCTCATATTCGAAAAAATCTCTTGCAGGAAAAATGCATCTGAACTCCCTGAATTTGTTTGACGATCCTTTTATTCTTGCGACGAAATTAATTTCATTTAGAGACTCTTATCGCAAATCGATTATAGACTTTCGTCAGATATTACAATCACCATATTATGAAAAAAATCGATTTATGGCAGTTTCTGTCTGTTGAAAGTAATTTTAATGCACACAATAATTATAATACAGTACTTTTGTCTGGATCGATTGGTATACAGTATACAAGTATTATTTACCGCTTGTAAGGGTTTACAAGCTTTTAGAAATTTAAATGTCCCACAAAACATTCATTCAACATGCATTTCAGAATCTGGAAAAAATCACTTTGTACAGGCATTTAAAGAAAAAAATACATCACAGAAGATACAAATGTATGAATAATGAATTGCCATATTCTTTTGATTAATGACAAAAATCATAGCCAATGGCAATAAATCAGAAAATCAAGGCTCAAGGTTTCCAGCCTGCATGTAATTTTTAATTGATGAAAAGGGGGGGGGGAAACCCTTGAGGGGAATGCGAATGAAGCTAACCCATTTTCCTTGTCCTCCAAGATTCTGGAGAAATCTTATTACTCACAATTTTGCTTTACTAATGATATCAAAGGATTGGAATGGCATGTTCTTAGGTCAGGTAATAGTGATTAATAATTTTTTTTATTTCAAGTCCAACTCACCTTTTGTTATTTCAACACTTTTAACACAAAAATGCTGGATTATTCTATTTACAGAGTTCAATAATGCTCAAAGAAATTCCTAGATGAATGACGCGAATATTATTTTGATGATTGTTTCAAAAAATCAATGCTGAAAAGCTGCGGTTTGCTGAAATCGAATCCCCACAAGTAGCACGAAAATACCCGCGGAAAACGTCGTTTTTCTGGATGAATGAAATTGGCCGTGAATAAGTTTAGAGCCCCTCAATTGAAAATAAATGAATAATATCGGAAAAACACGGAATTTCTACTTTCTCTGGAAAATCGCTCTTCACCTCGATTTTTTTTCACCTCTGTTCGTTCTCAATTCTCAACCTTGAACAGTGCTTCAAGGTTGAGGTTGATCCGGGAAAGAAAAAAAATATTTCTTTTCCAACCCTCCTCTTTTCTTGTTGCATGCTGATGCCCTTGACCATGCACAACGAAGCCGGACCTGAATCAATTGCATAATTCGAATAACGGCTTGAAAAAAATATGCTGAATTTTCCCCGCTCAAGGAGGGTGTCCCTGCTTGGGGAAAAACGAATCCCTGTATTTTTTTGGCGCGCCGAAAATACCGGATAACCTTACCCCATTTTTTTCTGGGAATTTCCTCTGGGTTCCTGTGAAATACCTGGGCGTCATGTATTCATCAGTTACTGTTTGATTTTATCTACGGGAAATAAGCGAGAACAATTTGAAAATAGAGTAAAATTCCATTATCTACTAATTTTTCGTTAAACAAATTATTTTCTCGGTCCCAGCAATTCGCCCTATAGGCGCCATAATGTAAGAATATCATTGTACGTAACTCATTTNAATAATGATGAGAAGAAGCCAAACGTTTGAAGAAATTTCTTCAGAAAACGATTTAAATATACTCGTATAGTATTCAATTCTTTGGAAAATATGATTCGGATTCTTGTGCGTTATGAAATGTAGTGAGATATTTTCAAACTGAGAAATTGAGCGAAATCGAGTTTGTGGATCTCATATTCGAAAAAATCTCTTGTAGGAAAAATGCATCTAAATTTTCTGAATCTGTTTAACGATCTTTTTATTCTTGCGACGAAATTATTTTCATTTAGAGACTCTTATCGCAAATCGATTATAGACTTTCTTCAGATATTACAATCACCATATTATGAAAAAAATCGATTTATGGCAGTTTCTGTCTGTTGAAAGTAATTTTAATGCACACAATAATTATAATACAGTAATTTTGTCTGGATCGATTGGTATATACAAGTATTATTTATACCGCTAAGCTTTTAGAAATTTAAATGTCCCACAAAACATTCATTCAACATGCATTTCAGAATCTGGAAAAAATCACTTTGTACAGGCATTTAAAGAAAAAAATACATCACAGAAGATACAAATGTATGAATGATGAATTGCAATATTCTTTTGATTAATGACAAAAATCACAGCCAATGGCAATAAATCAGAAAATCAAGGCTCAAGGTTTCCAGCCTGCATGTACTGTAATTTTTAATTGATGAAAAAAGGGGGGGGGAAACCCTTGAGGGGAATGCAAATGAAGCTAACCCATTTTCCTTGTCCTCCGAGATTCTGGATAAATTTTATTACTCACAATTTTGCTTTACTAATGATATCAAAGGATTGGAATGACATGTTCTTAGGTCAGGTAATAGTGATTAATAATTTTTTTTATTTCAAGTCCAACTCACCTTTTGTTATTTCACCACTTTTAACACAAAAATGCTGGATTATTCTATTTACAGAGTTCAATAATGCTCAAAGAAATTCCTAGATGAATGACGCGAATATTATTTTGATGATAGTTTCAAAAAATCAATGCTGAAAAGCTGCGGTTTGCTGAAATCGAATCCCCACAAGTAGCACAAAAATACCATTCATTCATCCAGAAAAACGACGTTTTCTGCGGAAAACGTCGTTTTTCTGGATGAATGAAATTGGCCGTGAATAAGTTTAGAGCCCCTCAATTGAAAATAAATGAATAATATCGGAAAAACACGGAATTTCTACTTTCTCTGGAAAATCGCTCTTCACCTCGATTTTTTTTCACCTCTGTTCGTTCTCAATTCTCAACCTTGAACAGTGCTTCAAGGTTGAGGTTGATCCGGGAAAGAAAAAAAAGATTTCTTTTCCAACCCTCCTCTTTTCTTGTTGCATGCTGATGCCCTTGACCATGCACAACGAAGCCGGACCTGAATCAATTGCATAATTCGAATAACGGCTTGAAAAAAATATGCTGAATTTTCCCCGCTCAAGGAGGGTGTCCCTGCTTGGGGAAAAACGAATCCCTGTATTTTTTTTGGCGCGCCGAAAATACCGGATAACCTTACCCCATTTTTTTCTGGGAATTTCCTCTGGGTTCCTGTGAAATACCTGGGCGTCATGTATTCATCAGTTACTGTTTGATTTTATCTACGGGAAATAAGCGAGAAAAATTTGAAAATAGAGTAAAATTCCATTATCTACTAATTTTTCGTTAAACAAATTATTTTCTCGGTCCCAGCAATTCGCCCTATAGGCGCCATAATGTAAGAATCTCATTGTACGTAACTCATTTTACGCTGTTACAGTATTTCACAGCAACAAATTTTTGGCTCTGATTCTTTGCATAGGACATTGGAATTATTGAACTTTATAAATGGTAGAATAATGAAAAACATTGAACTGGTGCGTCATTCCAATTTTATCATAGAAGCAAAGTGTTTTGTACAGATTATTCAGTGTTTAAAAAAAAACGCCACATGACATGATATACTTTATTTACTTGAGTACCACATGGTCTTTATAGTAAAACATGCGTTGGGGTTTTTTCAGTTTTGATAAAATCCTATCCCCAAGTATGTTGGCACCCCAGGTTCAGTGACTGTAAAATCGCAATATTTCAAATACTGTCAACCCCTGCACAACAGACCTCTAGCACAATGGATTTTTGTCCAACAGACTGCTTCCCATGCAGCAAACTAAATCCTCATAACAGACTTTTATTGACTTAAAATTAGTGGTAAAATGTACAAAATTTAATTTTTAAATCCATTGAATTGGCATGACAGACTTGAGACTTTTCACACAACAGACTAGTCTGTTGAACAAATAAAGTTTGTTGTGCGGGGATTGGCTATAAAACCACCCGAATTTGAATTTATACATGAATTGAACATGAATTTGACTAAATTTTGATTATTTCCATCAAATACTTTTAAACTTGATTCAATTTCCCATTATAACTAAGTATAATGCGCACCTGAACTTCTGAAATATTTTGAAAAATGTGTACCATAATATGGCATTCACCCTACTTTTTTGCCCCAAATTTGAGAAAAAAAGGTGCACATGAAACTTGAGTAAATATGGCATTTCTTGGAGCTTTTGCAGTTCCCTTTTAGGATGTATGAATTTATTTCAAGGAAACAATATGCTATAAGAATAACCCTACATTTCAAATAATAGTTGGAAATGAATAAGTTGATTCCAAAGGAAATATGTCTCCCTAACCAAACTCTGTTTCATTTTAGCCTTTGACACATATGGCACTTCTGTATAGAGAGGCAGGTTCAATCAAAGGAAAAATACTGTAAATTCAGAAATTGTCCTCTTTGTTGCATCAGAGAGATTTGGAAATTATGACAGGCCTTGAATTATCTGTAGTAGAAGCACTTTACAGTATTTATCACCCATTTCCCGCAAAATTTCAGCAAAAAGTGGGTTAAAATATTAAAATCCATACATCTTGATACCACACNGTTCAGTGACTGTAAAATCGCAATATTTCAAATACTGTCAACCCCTGCACAACAGACCTCTAGC